AAATAATATTTTCCTCGTAAGAGCCTCGTAAATTTACTTCCACTTTACGAGGAAACGCTTTTCTCGTAAGTTTACGAGAACCTTACGAGGAAAAGATGTTTCCTCGTAAAGTCGAAGTAAACTAGTAGTATTTTTACGAGGAAATGTTTTCCTAGTAAATTTTCCTAGTAATGGCTTAGTTTTCTTGTAGTGTTATTAGAAGGGAAGAAATGTCAAATAAGCAGGAATGTTGTTTTCCAGGAGAATGCAGTCTATAAAGATGTTATTCAGAAAGGAAAACAGAAAGAAGATGACAACTTTGAGCCTGAAGAGGCTGCGTTTGATATAGATCTTGGAGACTCTGGAGATATCATCTCAGGTGGAGACGTTCAGAATGATAATATTGTCACAGAAGATGATCAACATTTTTCTGATAATCAAGATGATTATGATCAAAATGAAGACCATGATCATGAATCTGATCATGAGCAGAACTATGAAGAAGAATCAGAAGAATATTCTGAGAGCTATCATCTGGTCAGAGACAGAGAACGCAGAACAATAAGGGCTACAAGAAGGTTTGACATTGAAGGATACTTCAGTGAAGACACTGATGATGAAGATGATCACTTTGATGTTGAGTCTCTGCTCACTACGGTTGATGGTGACTCCAAAGAACCTGCTAGCTATCAAGAAGCCAGAAACGGTGAAGATTGGGAATTCTGGAAAGCAGGGATGGATGAAGAGATGGACTCTCAACGAAGAAACCACACCTGGACTGTTGTTGACAAACCAAGAGGACAACGTGTAATTGGCTGCAAATGGATATATAAAAGGAAAGCTGGGATCCCTGGAGTGGAAAAACCTAGGCACAAATCTCGTCTTGTTGCCAAAGGTTATGCTCAGAAGGAGGGAATAGATTACATAGAGATCTTCTCACCAGTAGTAAGACACATATCTATAAGGATTCTACTTGCTATTGTTGTAGAAGAAGATCTGGAACTGGAACAACTTGATGTAAAGACAGCCTTCCTACATGGTGAGTTGGATGAGAAGATCTACATGGATACACCTGAGGGTTATGAAGATCTGATTAAGAAAGGTCAAGTGTGTCTGTTAAACAAGGCGTTGTATGGGTTGAAGCAGGCTCCGAGGAAATGGTATGAGAAGTTTGACAGTTACATGGCTGAACTAAGCTTTATAAGAAGTTACAGGGATAGTTGTGTGTATGTGAAGACGTGTGCTGATGGATCCAAAGTCTACCTATCTCTATAATATTATTTGAGAAGTCAGTTTCCTACGTGTCGCTCTCACGTTAACTCTTACGATGGTTGATTACATAGATACCCTTAATGAATTGTTAGATTTTAAGTTTATTATTAATTTTTTTTATTTAGTTTCTTTTTTTACTTTTTCCAAATAACATATACAATAAAAAGGAAATATTTCTAAAATTTTAAAACAGATTTGAAAACGAAAATATATATATATATATATATATATATATATATATATATATATATATATATATATATAATATGACTTTATTAAAAAGGAAAGTTCACAAAATAGTAATATACCCCATTAATATATATTTTTAAATAACATAAAATATATTTTCAAAATAATAAAAATATATATGTTCATGAACATCCAGAATTTATCAGTTATACTTTATTTTCTAATATTTTTTGAAAATCAATATATAATTTGATAAATATTATGAAAATACTTGTATATTTAAACGATAAATAAAATTAATTTGATTTGAATTAACTAAAATAATAAATAAATAAATATTATGAAAATACATGTATATTTAAGCGATAAATATAACTAATTTGATTGGACTTAACTAAAATAAAAAGTAATTATACTTCAATTTTAACTCAATATACTCACAACACGAATGACTCGACTAATATAATTTATATCTCTATAATATTATTTGAGAAGTCACTTTCTTATGTGTCGCGCTCATGTTAACTTTCACGATGGTTGATTATTATGATACCCCTAATGAATTAAAATATATATTTAAATATTATTATTTCCTTTTCAAAATTTTCCAAATAACAAGATAAAATAAAAAGGTAACATTTATAAAGTTTACAAAACTATTTAAAACGAAAATATAAGTATATAGAAATATGGTTTCATAGAAAAGGAAAGTTCACAAAATAGTAATATTTAATTTAAATATATTTTAAATAATATAAAATATACTTTTGAAGTAATAAAATACTTCATATCTATATCTTCTTAGATGAAAAAAAATATTTTTATATAATGTGATTCCATAAAAAAATTCACACAACTAATCTTGATATTAGAAAAAGAAATATTTTTTTTCCTTTAAGAAAATAATTTTAAACAATAATATATATATATATATATTCAAAGTAATTATTTTTGGTATATAACTATCTATTTTATTAGATGATTACATAAAATAATTAAGTAACATAAACTGATATATGTTTAATTGATTTTTTTATAATTTGTATTCTTGAAATATATATATTTTTTGATTTTTTTAGTATATTTATTTGACTATAATATATCACAATACAACAAAACATATAAATTCTATTTTACTTATATAATATCATTTCTCAAAAAGAATAACATTTTACAGCATATTTTAACAGATATTAAAAACAAAACTAAAAATAAATTTTAATAATAAACATTTTTTGATTGAATAACTACAATTATTTTAAAATATCATAACACTATATAATTTAACGAAGTAGATATAATATATTTTAATTTTTAAAATTATATGTTTTCTTAATAACTCTTTTGATTTTTAATTTTCTGTTTTTATGTTTGTGGAACTTAATATAACCATAATCAAAATACTTAAGTAAATATTGTAAATATTGTTATGTGTTCATAAGCTTCCAAAATATATTAGTTACTTATGTATGTAATTTAGAATCAGACAGTTTAGTTTTTATTTTTTCTTTCTAAGCACAAAAAATCTTAAGTTATACATAATCTTACTAGATATACTTATATTTCTAAGATAACAACCGGCATAAATGCAAATATGACAATTAATCAAAAATTTAATATATTTAGGATAAAAAAGATTATAATTGAATTCAAAGAAACAAATAGAATCTAATATATCCAAATGATAACTAAATCAACCGTAAAAACAATAAAACTGACAAAAATAAACATATCTAAAACTATATGTATAATTAAATTAATATAATATTATTAATATAAATTATACCTACAAATTATAAACTAATTTAAAATTTAAAGTAAATATCAATAAATTATTATAATATCTTTATTTTATAAATATTTATGTCCGTGCATGAGCACGGGAAAATCACCTAGTTAATATACATAGATGACATGTTGGTAGCAGCTAAGGACAAACGGTTAATCTCAGAGCTGAAAGAGAAACTCAGTTGCAGTGAAATGAAAGATCTGGGTCCTGCAAAGAAAATTCTTGGTTTTGAGATCAGTAGAGACAGAGGTTGTGGAAAGCTGTGGTTATCTCAAGAAAGTTACATGGAAAAGGTTCTTGAGCTATACAAGATGGATCAAGCAAAAGTGGTTTCAACTCCACTTGGTGCTCACATGAGGTTCCGCTCTGCAACAAAAGACCAATTGCAAAATGATGAAGATTACATGAAGACGGTGATATGCCAATGCTGTTGGAAGTCTTATGTACTCTATGATTGGTACTAGACCACACTTGGCTTATCCTGTGGGAATCGTCAGTAGGTTCATGGGAAATCCTATAAAAGATCACTGGTTAGGGGTGAAATGGATCATGAGGTATATCAAAGGCACCATGAACATGAAGCTGTGTTACAAAAAAAGGTTCAGAGTTTGTGCTGAGAGGATATTGTGACTCAGATTATGCTACTGATTTGGATGGGAGAAGGTCAGTCAGTGGAGTTGTGTTTACACTTGGGGGAAACACCATAAGTTGGAGGCCAAGACTTCAAAAGGTTGTGACACTTTCAACCACTGAAGCTGAATATTTGGCCATGAATGAAGCTAGCAAGGAAGCTCTGTGGCTTAAGGGTTTGTTGATGGAATTTGTTTTTGATCAAGGCTGTGTTGAGATTTTCTGTGACTCTCAAAGTGCAATTTCTCTGTCCAAGAACAATGTGTATCACGAGAGAACAAAACACGATGATACCAAGTACCATAAGATCAGAGAAATCATTGAAAAGGGGTTTGTGAAGGTACTGAAGATATCTACATTGACAAATCCTGCAGACATCTTTACCAAGATTGTACCAGTCAGTAAGTTTTAAGCTGCGTTGAACTTACTGAGGGTCAAGTCTGAGTAATTCGACTCAGGCTCCGGGAACAGGAATCCATGATACTAGATAAGCTCACCTATCTCAAAGTCTCAAGTAATTCTATTTCTTTGTTTTGTTGATCTGTCTTTACTAGGAGGAGATTTGTTTGGTACTTTTTTTTTTTCTGATCAATGATTTGTTGGGTACTTAATGACATGTTTGACGTGGAAAAGAGGTAATATAAGTCAAGGACCACTCTCACGTGACCGATTGGGATTGCAGGACCACAAGTAGTTATGAACATTTTGGCAGTTTCTGTACAAAGCTTTTCGAAAAAGGCCAAACATGAGGAAACGTGGTACAGGCTGTAATTCCACATTTTTTATTAAAGTTATCTTTTGTCAAAATTATTCAATCATAAATGAATATTTATATAGAGCTAAGAAGGAAGAAATAAGACAAGGCAGGCAATGGAGGAGAATAACCAGAAGCACTTTGTGCTTGTCCATGGGCTCTGCCACGGCGCATGGAACTGGTACAAGGTGAAACCGATTCTCGAGGCTGCAGGTCACACTGTGACAGCAGTAAACCTAGCTGCGTCGGGCATAGACTCAACCAGATTAGAAGAGATTCAAACACTGCAGGATTACTGCAAACCGTTGCTAGATGTTCTGAGCTCGCCAGATGAAGATAAGGTGATTATTGTTTCTCATAGCATGGGAGGATTATCCGCAGCGTTTGCAGCTGACGTGTTCCCTCATAAGATCGCTGCTATTGTCTTTGTGACATCATTCATGCCTGACACAATAAACCCACCTGCTTATGTTTTCGAAAATGTAAGAAAATAAAATGATGATTCTATTCCACGGTACCATTTCTTTCTTACAAGTGATTTTCTGATAGTTACTAAATGAGATGTGCAGTTCATGACGAGCATTCCACAGCAAGTTTGGTCGGATACCGTGTTGGGGAGCTATGGGAGACCTGATCATCCATTAAAGTCTGCTCTACTTGGACCAAAGTTCTTGGCCAAGCATTTGTATCAACTTTCACCAGTCGAGGTAAGTCTCTAAGCCTAATCAAAACCTCTGTTTTAAAGACGCAATAAAGAGTTTGCTAGTAACCTTTTTTTTTGTTAGGATCTTGAATTGGCGAAAATACTGGTGAGGGTAAACCCTTCAGTTACGACCAATCTGGCAGGGACAAGAAGCTTCACTGAGGAAGGGTACGGATCTGTTACACGTGTCTACATCATATGCGAAGAGGATAAGATAGTATCTAAGGAATACCAGCACTGGATAATCAGCAACTTTCCACCAAAAGAAGTGATAAAGATCAAAGATGCTGATCATATGCCAATGACCTCCACGCCTCAAGAACTATGTGCTCATCTCTTGGAAATAGCTGATAAATATGCATAAGAGAAACCTGCGATTGTGCAACTGGTTATGTGTACCTGTGTATTTTGTTTAAGAACATATAGTATAATCAAATAAGTGAGGTGATATCAAAGATGCATACCTAAATAAACCTAAGATCGTCTGTCTTTTGAAGAAGCAGAGTTAAATATTGCCTATTAACCATCACAATTACCAAATATGTAGCTAAGATCGTCTCTTATACTTTTTCCTTAAGAGGTAAGTTTCTATCTAATCAAGAGGTCAACCAACCTAACTCCATAAACTGTACCGACTTAAAACTAAGAGTCAATGTAAAGTTGGTGTACGATTCTAAGACAGCAACCTAAACCTAACAGTCAGGTTTACCATTCCCTGGAACTCATCAAGAGTATAAAGTGTAGAACCAAAAATCTGAAAAGAAAAGGCAATGGAGAAAAACAGTAAGAAACACTTTGTGCTTGTCCATGCGGGATGCCACGGCGCGTGGAGTTGGTACAAGGTGAAAACACTGCTAGAAGCTGCAGGACATTGTGTCTCTGCTATTGATCTGGCTGCATCGGGTATCAACATGACCAGAGTGGAAGAGATTCAAACGTTGAAGGATTATTCAAAGCCATTGCTAGAGATGATGGGCTCTCTTGCCTCTGACGAAAAGGTGGTTCTTGTCGCACATAGCATGGGAGGTATACCGTCTGCTCTCGCTGCCGACATCTTTACTTGTATGACAGCTGCTATTGTCTTCTTGACATCTTCCATGCCTGACACCAAAAACCCGCCTGCTTACGTTATCGAAAAGGTACATAACAATGATTCATACACTGACTCAGTTTAATCTTTACAAGTGATTTTGACATCTGAGTGAAAATCTGCAGTTGGTTGAAAGCATTCCACCAGAAGAGTTCTTGGACACAGTGTTTGGAAGCTACGGGACATGTGACCGTCCCCTACAGACTATTCTTTTTGGACCAAAGTTCTTGGCAGAGAAATTTTACCAATTATCTCCAGTTGAAGTAAGACTCCTCCAAGCCTAATCAAACCTAAGGCTCAGATGAGATTTGCTACTAACGTTGGCCAATATTTCATGGTTTTAGGATCTTGAATTGGCGAAATTGTTGGTGAGGGTAAACCCTTTAGTTACGAACAATCTGGCAGGGACAAGAAGGTTTAGTGAGGAAGGGTATGGATCGGTTACACGTATCTATATAATATGCGAAGAGGATAGTATAGTACCTAAGGAATACCAGCACTGGGTAGTCAAGAGCTTCCCACCAAAAGAAGTAATAAAGATCAAAGATGCTGATCATATGCCAATGAACTCCAAGCCTCATGAACTTTGTGCTTGCCTCTTGAAGATCGCAGATAAGTATGCATGAATCAAACCTGGTATTGTCACCGCAAATTAGCTTCCCCCCTAATACCCATAAGGGGGGTAAATCTATACGAATGAGAACTAAGCAAGTGATAATGTTTAAAAAAGATAATTATGAGCACTTAAGGTTTTATCCAGTCCAGAGGTAGGTCAACCAACCAACCAACTCAACGCAACCAACTTAAGAACTAACAGTGAAATACCAGAACCTAAAAACTATTGATAATATATAACAGCCAGAGACAATGCCCATGATCACCATGACCAATATAGCAGAGCAATTTTTAATCAGACAGATGAAAACAACAGAACAATGTCGATATGCACACCAATGTGGCCAAATCGATCAACTGTTCTACCGGAAACTCAGCGTCTCCGTTTGCTGGCTTTGTAACCATCTGCTTATCCTTAGAAATCGACCCTTGTCCGCTTCACCTACCAACATCAACCTCCTCATTCCAACTTCGAGACTAGAAGAGATCGAAGAAACTGTCGAGATTAGGGATCGACTTGCTTCATCTTCGAGACTAGTGATCGGACGGTGATGAATCTCCAGCTGTCCTTACCGCGGAAACGGAGAAGTGAACAAGAAAGAAGGGGGGAAATCATTGTAAATTGTATTGGGTAGCAGATACCTCCATCAGTTACTTTGTATGTCAAATGTACAAACTCGTAAACATAAGAGGTTAATATGCAACAAAAATCATAAAATTTTAAACATTTTTTTATATATATACTTGGAAATCACTCCGCGAGTAAACGCCCACGAGAAAAGATGTTTATTTTTTTTAAATTATATTTATATAATTTATATTTGTTGATCAAACATTTTGAATCATTTAATAAACTAATTATTTTGTATCTAGATAAAAATTAAATAAAATAATCTTCTATAACAAAAGAGTGAAAGTAGAATTTGTGTTTGAAAATATGTAAATTTAAATATTATGTATTAAACATAGTACAATTAAGTAACATAATCGTCTTCTATTATTTTATTTTTTTGTGGTTGTTTAACTTCTTCAATTGCTTTTGTCTTTTCATTTAGATTATCAACTTTACTTTGTTTTAAATATTATTTTTTTTCCTTCTTTTATTTCCTTTAGCAATATTAGTTTCTTCTATCTTATCCGTATTGTTAACAATTTTATTTATTATAATAGGCTGTTAAAGTGAAATGTAAGTTTATTAATTTTCTTTATAATTTTTCTGATTTGTATTTTCAATAAAAAGTTATCTCCAAATGTATTGTACCTTTTCATTAATACTTTGGCTATCTCTGATACGTGTAACCGTTAATTCAGCTGAACTTTACTGATAATTGTAGGATGTGACCTTAGCATTTAATTTAAAAAACTTTTCCGATAAGTTATTATGAAAAGCAAGAGATAATTGCATTATTACTTGAATCATTGTATATATGACTCTTTTCGCATATAGTAATTTTAAATATTAATTTCTGATTATGCACTATAGTTTAATAATTATTATAAGTATTATATTTAATTACGTGAAACTGAATTAAGTATGTTGCTGATTTACCCAGAATACTGGTCATGTCTTTGTTGAATGTGGTTAATAAATCTGAATCCGAGTTATTTTCGACAACAATCTCAAGTTTATACATATTTTAATGTGTTTGGTATTACTAATCTGTTGGTAATAAAACTACAAAATTTTGTATTTTTTATGTTACAATAATATGCCAACAATATATAGTTTTGTGCATTTTGTGCTAGTAAGTTTTTCATCCTTTTTCAAAAATATTTTAGCGCAATGATTACATGATATGTAATTCCATCTTTTTTGAACTAATTGCAATAATTTTCCCTTTAATGATAAACTCTTTTTCCTAACAATCAAAGTTTCACAATAAGTTTAGGTTGTATATAATTACTAATTTATTAATTTTTAAAAGAATCGAAATGTGTTTCTTTACCTCAAACAAATCTTTAGCAACAAAATTTATAATTTCTCTAATTTTAACAATGTCATCATTTAATTTTTTTTTTAAATTGCTTTCGTCCTTCATTTGTATTTGAGGTATTCTGTATTGACCACAATTTACTTAAACTTTATATTATAAATGATATATATTTTAATTATAATTATCTTTTTGGTTAAGAATGAATAGTATTTAATGGATCATCTTGATATATTTTGGAAGTGAACGTTGTGTTTAAGTAAAGGTAACATATAATTCATGTTGTTAATTTTTAATTTTTTTTGTTAAAATTTATTAGAAATTTATTAATATGAAATATGTTTTTATATAAACCTGAATATATTTTGGGATTCACACTTGTTATTATTATAATAACACTATATGTTTCCCTATATATCATTTGTTTTTGGTATGTATCTACTATATTGTCTCATATAGTAATACTCATTTCTTCCAATGTTATATAGTTATTATTTTAATAATTGAGTTATTTTTTTAAAAAAAATGTGACTATAAATTATTTTGAAATGGATGTGCAAGTTAATATAAATTTTAATTTTATGTGCAATACCAAACATTTATATCAACTATTGTATAATTTTGGATGTGGTAATTGATTGTTTACAAAATCTAATAAAATAATGGTTACTAACACTTTTAAATGTAGGTCAAGGTTTATTCTTCTTTGTCCAATATCTGGTACTGTATCATCTATATTTATTTTTTCTTCAACAATTACATAAACAACATCTGCATATACGAATTTATATATAAGCATACAATTTATATATTTATAACTTTTGGATATATGTATTATACCACTACCATCATAAAATAAATTCTTGTCTGAAATTTTCATAAGTTGATCATAATCACGGAAACTGAATTTCTCGCAATTATTTGTACAATTTTTTCTCATATCGGTGTTATTGAAGAATTTGCATTCAACCATATATTAAAAGAATTGTATGAAATTTTATACCCTATCTGCCTTTCCTACTTCAAAATCATTGAAGATATATATTTTGCCTTCTAAAAATTTCAGGGAAAATTGATGAATGTGACGAACATAGATTGATCTCATAATGGTTGAATCATATATTTCATTAGATTGCCAAAATTCTTTGACAGTTTCATGTGTTATGTTGAACTAAAACATCTCTTTCGTCCACGGTGGTAGAAAAATCCCCAATTATTAAGTAATCTATTTCAATAGCAGATGGCAATTCATATTGCCTTTTCCTTTTATTATATCATACCATATAAATTTTCAATTCCGCATTATTTACCACTTTCATATTTATCTCTAGCTTTTCTAAATACTATTTCTAGTACATTATTTCCGTCAAGCATTTTTATTAGTGATGATAATATTTGTGTATCTACTTATTCTTTTCCTTCTCAGTTCATCATTGTAAGTATGTTTTTTTTTATTTCATTGAATGTGTCAAATATATACAACTGTAAAAATTTGGCCTTCTCTTCATCCACATGTAAAAATTATCCAATATTGTGATAATTTTCACCATGAACCTTAAAGCAAAAAGGACCACCACAATTTAGTATTGAACAATCTATGTCATCATCCATAGAACACATAAACAATAAAAAATTAAACACTCTAATATTACTCTTAAATGAAGGATTACATAACAAATTTTTGAATATTATAGGCGGCTCACGAATCTTGGGTAATTTGATATGTCCTTGTTTACAATAAATATGGACGTTTGGTTAATCAATCTTTTTCGGTACTTTCGACAAGCCATACTAACGCATTACAATCACAGCAGCGCATTAGTTTTGTAAATTATTACTTTTGGCCATTATTTCCTTATATATTTACCAATAAATGAAAA